GCTGCTAGTCCCTGAGGGTGACCCAGACGCTTTCGACATCCCGACCCCTCGCACTTACGCTGAGGCGACCACGGGACCTTGGGCCTCGCAGTGGATAGCTGCCATGGAGCAGGAGATGGCATCTTGGAGATCCACCGGCACCTTCGTCGACGCAGTTCCCCCGCCTGGGGTGAACGTAGTAGATGGCCGCTGGCTCTTCAAGGTGAAGCGCCCTCCTGGAGAGCCGCCTGTGTTCAAGGCGCGCTACGTGGCTAGAGGCTTCAGTCAGCGTGAGGGGGTGGACTTCTTCCAGACCTTCGCTCCGACCCCGAAGATGACTACTCTTCGGGTTCTGCTACACCTAGCTGCTCAGCGCGACTACGAGCTTCACTCCCTCGACTTCTCCACTGCCTTCCTACAGGGCAGCCTACACGAGCAGGTCTACTTGCGTCGCCCTCAGGGCTTTACTGGCACCTTCCCTTCTGGGACCCAGTGGCTCCTGCGGCGCCCCGTCTACGGCCTGCGCCAGGCTCCCCGTGAGTGGCACGACACTCTCCGTGCTACGCTTGCTGACCTGCAGTTCTTTCCGTCTTCCGTAGACCCCTCACTCTTCGTTCGTGCTGGCCAGACTCCGTTCTACATCCTTGTTTACGTCGACGACCTAGTCTTCGCCACAGCAGACAGGGACGCACTGGCCTCCATGAAGGCAGAGCTGCTGAAGAGACACACCTGCACTGACCTTGGAGAACTGCACCGTTACCTTGGCTTGCAGATCTCCAGGGACAGAGCAGCGCGCACCATCACCCTGACTCAGTCACACTTGGTGCGCCAGGTCCTTCAGAGGTTCAGCCTTCAGTTCTCCTCTGCACAGCCCACCCCTCTGCCTGTAGACCACAGACTCTCCGCTCCAGTGTCTGAGGAGTCGGTTGAGCCCAGCGGCCCCTACGCAGAGCTGGTGGGTTGCCTCATGTACCTGATGACTTGCACTCGCCCAGATCTTGCATACCCTCTCAGCATCCTGGCGCGCTTTGTGGCCACAGGCAGACACCGACCGCAGCACTGGTCTGCCGCTAAGAGGGTTTTGCGTTATCTTGCTAGTACATCGGGCATGGGGTTAGTGCTAGGAGGACGCAGGCCAGTGGTCCTTACTGGACACACCGACGCTTCGTCGGCAGACGACGCCGAGACACTCAGGTCTACCCAGGGCTACTGCTTCAGCCTTGGCTCAGGTGCCGTCTCGTGGAGAGCTACCCGCTCCTCGTCTGTTGCCCAGTCCAGCTGTGAGGCCGAGATCTACGCTGGTGCCATGGCGGCACAGGAGCTCCGCTGGCTGACCTTCTTGCTCACTGACTTAGGTGAGCGGCCTAGCTCTGCCCCGGTCCTGTTCGCTGACAACAGGGCCATGATCCTCCTGTGTCAGGAGCCTCGACTTGAGGGCAGAGCGAAGCATATTCAGCTGCGATACTTCCTCTTGCGCGAGCTACAGCAGCGACGCCAGGCTCGCGTAGTACACTTGGCCTCAGGTGCCAACACAGATGATATCTTTACGAAGGCGCTTGCACCTAAAGATCATCAGCGGCACTGCGTACAGCTTGGTCTAGTCCCTGTAGCCTCTCACTTGCTAGGGCCTTGACTTTGTACTGCCCTTTTATATGTATACTCAGACTGGACTTGTGTCCTCTACCAGTGGCTGGACTAGTAGTGCCGCCCTGATCTTGTTCTTGCCTTGTATGTACTCCTTCTGACTGGTCTTTTAGACCCTTGTCTCAGAGGTTGGACTAGTAGTGCTGCCCTGAGCTGCTTGTTCAGGACATTCCCCTATGCAGTCTAGGGGGTGTGTCAAACATGTGTATTAGTTTTGTTTGCATAGACTGTATAGGGTCACCTCTTAGAGGGTACAATACTTAGGTATATCTATCTGTACTCTCCCACTAGTCAATCATTCACTTCTCTCATTCTGATACTATTATGGTGTAACGAACATTCTCCGAAAACTGAAGATAAGGATGTTTCCATGCATCTTGGCCACCACCACCAACTGTCTGTTAAACCAATGAACACGTCTATGTAACGTGCCAGTACTCATGGCATTGGGATACCGTATTCCCCCGTATAAAACACCCTAGGGTGGTTACCAAAATGCATCTAAATTTTGAGGAGGGTGTAATTAGAGGCTAATTTTGTATAACGCCTGGGTGTTGTGGAACATGCATTTTATAGTTCAATGTGGAGAAAAGCAGGGGTTCTTAAACCAGACCTTGGAAACCTGTTGAACTGACTTCTGACCGCGTACGAGATGATAAGGCTCGGGGGCATGCCAAGTGGGATCATGTGTCACCCAAGGGTGAGTTCAGCAGCCAATGAGGGTCTTCTGTCTGCGCCGGTTCCTCAGCTACCTGTCTGATGTGTGCCAGCGCACCTCGTCTCAATTGCAGCATGCCAGAGTCGATGAATCTGGCAGGGTACCGTGGGGCATCTTGACGGAGTCGTCAAGATGCGTCCAGCGCGTGAGCGCTGGATGGTCCTGACGGGGGTGTCGTGTGCGGCATGACAAGGGAGGAGCTCACGTCCCTCTCCTCTCCACCCTCGTCGTTTCACGGGGGGAATAGCCCGCTTCGTCCCCTCATTTCTGCATCCGAGATCAGGATGCTCTCAAAACTCCTCCGGTATGGACTGTCGAAGGCATCTTGGGTTCTCTGCCCTTATCCTCCTAGCCTACCGACGCCATGACTACGGGCTCCGGTCTCAGTCGCCTTCTTGCCCAACGCGGCCCTCATGGCCGGCAGACATTTTTCACTCGTCATGTCCCGCGATCGTCTAGTTCATCTCCGCCTAGGAGCCCGCTCCGCACAGCTAGCAACGATGCCACAACTGCCGACGAGGCGGCTAGTGGTGCTAGCCAGGAGCGCCGTACGCTGCCCCGTGTTACTTTCCCCTCATTCCCGTCACCCGTTGTCAGGCCGAGAGGACCCATCATCAACCACGATGCGAATCCACCGTCCCCCCGCAGCAGAATGACCAAACGAGCACGTCGCTCCTATTCCGCTACTGAGAAACTGTATTGGCTCGCGATGTTTGACGCACAGCCTGACCTGTCTATTCGTGCCCTTGCGAAGCTTGCAGGTGTTCAGCCCATTAGCATTCGGGAATGGAAGAAGGCCCGGGAACGGCTGAGAGTTGCGGCTGGTTGTCGGAAGAGGCTCGTCGGTGGCGGTCGTCCGGCCAAGTACCCCGTGATGGAGTCGGCTCTCTACCGACAGTTCTTGAGGCATCGGTCCAAGGGGCTCGCAGTCTCGGTCTCGCAGCTGCAGAAGTGGAGTCGCGCCTATATGCGGGTGCACCATCCTGGCGTGGACTGGCGCGGGTCGAGTCGGTGGACCTTCCGGTTTCGCGCCCGATGGGGTCTAGCACGCCGCGTTAAAACCAAAATGGGTCAGAAACTAGCTGACGGTAAGTTTGGCCGGTGGATGCTATTCGTTCAAGATTCCTTACCTGTTTAGACATTGCCTGGGTCTACAATCTAATTCATTCTCGTATCCTTGAGTTTATGAATGCAAACATGAGGGTGAAGATTGAAAAATTTTGGGAATTTGTCAAGCAGATGCGCATCTTGAACAACTACAGCAACGACCTGATTGTGAACGCGGACCAGACGCCGCTCTTCATCGAGATGCCACAGGAGAGGACCTTGGACCACAAGGGGGCGCGCACGGTTCACGTGAGGACCGCGGGCTATGAGAAGGAAAGACTCACTGTGATGCTGGCAGTGACGGCATCGGGGAAGAAGCTCCCACCATACGTCATCTTCAAAAGGAAGACTGTTCCGAAGATTCAAGTCCCAGCTGGTAAGATATTCCTTTTGTCAAAGGTGATATCGTTTCTGGTGGCCTCGGTAATCTAAGTTCTAACACACATTTAATCGTTTACTGATGCAGGAGTAATAATCCGAGCCCAGAACAAGGGCTGGATGGACAAGAAGCACGTTCAGGATTGGGTCACCCAGGTCCTGAACCCGTTCATGAAACCATTGCGCGAAGCAAATGGGAGGAGGAAGGACGCGCTCGTCGTCCTGGATTCCTACAAGGGGCACCTGACGGAGGCGGTGGGATAGACGATATCGCCTTTTCAAGTTTACCCGCGCCGTTATCCCGGGAGGGTGCACGCCGCTGGTGCAGCCCCTCGACGTCTCGGTAAACAAGTGCTTCAAGGCAGGCGTTCGAAGTGATTACGGCGGGTGGTTTGAGAGATTCGGCATCAATCTCAAGACCAATCAAGGTACGGTCCACTTCCTTCAGCACTGTCTCTGGTTTTTTTCCTACTGGGCTTAACGCAAGTGTCACGAGAAGACTAAGGAAAGCATGCGTGTCCTATGTCTTCCAGGAAATTTGAGGAAGCCCCCACCGGAGCTAATCCTCAAGTGGATTGCTCGCTCATGGGATGCAGTCCCCGAGGAGCTCATCCGCAAGAGCTTCAGGACCTGCGGTATTGCCAACGACCTCAGTGGCTCCGAAGACCGGCTCGTCCTGAGCCATCTCCGCAGCAAGACAGAGGTGGAGATCATGGACGATGTGCACGCGGAGGAGGGGGAGGATGAGTACGTCAACCCCCTGTACGACGATTGCTTTGTTGAGCCCCCCATGGACACCCCCGACTTCGATGAGGACGATAACGCCGCTGACGTCCTACTTGAAGAGCTTGCATGCGAGGGGGAGGGCCCGCTGGATGAGCCTGTTCGGGAGTGGCCGGCAGAGGGGATTGCTGGGGAGGACGATGACGACCACTGGTGGGATGAGGTCGCGAATGAAGAAGATGTGGAGATCTGGCATGCGGGGGATCCTGAGGAGGAGGATGCTGATGCTGAAGACTGTGACGGTGATGGTGCGGATGCTGAAGCCGACGACTGGCATCTGTAGGACCTCATCATGCAATATGACAATCTGCAGTAGGACTTGGTTCTGTAGGCAATACTCTATGGAATTCGTAGGATATCTAGCATCTGATGTTCGTAGCTCTGTTTATTGACTAAAAATAACATTTTATAAAGTAGGGGGGTGTTCAAATGTTTGCAATCGCCGAAGGCGGGTGTTATCAATATCCACTTTAATAAAGCACCCATGTCCGCTCAAACTACCCATGGGAGTTTAATTTTGCGGGGTGTTGTATACGGGGGAATACGGTAGGAGGAATGCATATTTAACTTAGGTCCTCATGCACGAGAACACAAGAAACGATTGAAACTTCTGGAGGGTTTGAGAAGCAGCGTTGCTGGCAGCTACCCACTCCGTGAAGATGGGACTGGAGTGAAGGGTAGATGCTGCTGAATGGGCTAGGGAAACAGAGCTGGGTGGGCAGAAAGACGAGGACGGGAGGAGGAGGGCAGGGAGAGAATTGGGTGGGGTGGGGTGGAGAAAAGGGGGGGAAAGAAAAAAGGGTGATGTCAGGAAGGGAATGAAGGTCGTATGGAGAATTGAAATCCAAGTTTGGGGGAAGAGGGGTGCAAGAGTGGGGGTTCTTCTGACAGCAGGAGTGGGGGTTCTTCTGACAGCAGGAGTGGGGGTTCTTCTGATAGCAGGAGTGGGGTTTCTTCTGGCAGCAGGAGTGGGGGTTCTTCTGACAGCAGGAGTGGGGGTTCTTCTGACAGCAGGAGTGGGGGTTCTTCTGAAAGCCCATGAGCAGCACAGTGTGTCGACAGAAGAAACTGACGTTTCTCCAACCATGACCCTCTCTGTTCTATCATCATCTACCCTATTTGCCCCCTCCATTCCACTCTCCACAAATCGTTCCACCCCACCCAAACCCACTACCCAATTCCCTTTCCCCCCTCTATCTTCCCCCCCACCCCTTCCCCTTCCTTCTCTGCCCCCTTTTCCTTCTCCCCTCCCCCTGTCCTGCTCCCCATCCTGACTCCACTCACACTCACACTCACCCGACTGCGTGAATTGCTCTCAGTGGCGTTCCTCCTGGTTGTTCACTGTCCTCTGGAAGGTTGTGCAGCCCTCACCTGAACTGTTCACCAGCAATAGCGACTGGGGAAGAGAAACAGGGCACACGGGGCAGGGAGGGAGGCAGACAGACAAGGGAAGAACGTGGCTATGTGAATCGTGCATGGACAAGAGAGCTGACAGCAGTGGCAAGGAGGGTGCAGGGAGAGCTGCGAGAGAGAAATGGGGAGAAAGGGAACAGGATTGGGGCAGGGAGAGGGGGGGGGGGGGGGAAGAGCAAAGCAGATACACTTCAAAACGTGATGAATCGCAATAGCGAGGGAGGAATGGTGCCATGGAGGGCGTGGCGAGCAGGTGCGGCGAGCAGGTGCTTCAAGTGCGGCCAATCTACTCGGACGGCTCCCCTCCTCCTCTCCCCACACCACCCCCTCCCTTGCTCTCCCAAACCCCATCACCCGACCTCCCCCCCTCCTTCCCTCCCTCGCCCTCCCACACACACACCAGCACCAGCACTCACCCGGCGCTGTGACAGCAGCCCTCCTCGCCAGTTCCCTCCCCCATGGCCCCCTGGGCGCGCCATGCTCCCATGCTCCCCGGTTCTGCGCTGGCAGCTGGGGGAGGGCACCACTGGACGGACGAGGAATGCTCTTGTTCTCCCGAAAATCGACGGGGGCAGTGAGGGAGGCAGAGGGTGAGAGGCAGAGGGTGAGAGGCAGGAATAACCTGGCGGGTGATGCAGAGGGGTGTTAGAGTGGGCAGGAAACAGAAGGGATGGAGGAGGGAATGGGGCTGAGCATGAGGGGCTTCGCAGAAAGAGGGGACGAGAAGAGAAATGACCATGAAGAGGGTACAGAGGAGCGGTAGATGGACATGGAGAAGGTCATGCGGCAAAGGGAGGGGAAGGGGAGAGAGGAAGAAGGAAGGGGAAGAGGGCCAGCGAAGGCAGAGGGGAAGGGGAAGAGAAAACAAAGATGGGAGAAAGAAGAAGCAGGGAGAGGAATGGTAATCACACCTCTAATGTTCACTCTAAAGCCACTGGGAACCTACCGAGCGCGGTGCAGCCATGCGTGAACGGCGCACGGCGTCGGCGTCATCATTCGGCATGAGACTCGCCACGCTTTCGCGCGGCAATGTCGGTCGCAAGTCGAGGCCTCCCTCCCCTTCCCTTGCTGCAGGTTCACTCCCCCACGGCCCTCTGAGATGTGCCACACGATGCTTCCATGCTCCGTGCTGCTGCGGTGGCAGCTGGGGGAGGACACGAGGGAACATGGCAGCAGGGGAAGCGGATGGACAAGGGCCGGAAAACTTCTGCAGAGGGGGCTGGACAAGAAAAATAGAAGTGGCAGGGGGAGGTGAAAGAGAGGCACGAATGCCACATGGAGGGAGGTAGGCAGTGGCGGGAGGAGGGATGGAAGAGTGGAATGGGGCTAGCGGGTGTGAGGAATGAGGAATGAGGAATGAGGACACGAAAGGAATGGCAAGCAGATGCAACGGCCGGGAGGGGGAAGGGCATTGTTTCATGCATAGGGCGTGGGGAACAAGTGAGCAAAAAAGGGGAAGGCGGAGAAGAAAGCGGAACAAAAACCGAGGGCGGTGGAACAAAAATCAGAGGTTGAGGGAGGACTACCGAGCCCTTAGCACTGACTCTATACCCGTTCGGACTGCCGAGTGTCGCATCGCGCATGTGTCCATCCACTGCGACGCGATCATCGCACCGCCATTTCTCCAACGTAGCAACCTGAGCGAGGTCAGGATCCTCGCTGCCACCACAAACGGTTCGCACGGGTGCCAGAAAACGCTCCTGCGACGCGGCGCTGCACTGCTGACACCAGTGGTGTCGGAAGGAAAGTCAAGAGAAGAGGACGAGAAGGGGTGTTTGGGTCGGAGAGAAGGGGGCGAGCGGAGGAGACGGATGATGGAATGATGGGAGAGACTTCGAAACGAGTCGGATCCGATCGCTCAGTATGATGGTGCTCCCCCTGCCATGTCTGTGTCCGGCGATCGAAGACAGTGTGAGGGACAAAGCGAGAGGAGCTGGTTTCACGCGTGCTAGTTATCGTGGAGCGGCTTGGTCTGGATGTGGGGATTGATGAACTCAGTTTCGCGAACGGGCAGCGGCGCGCATGGCACAGGCGGCCGGATGAACGGAAGGGCGGTTGAATGCGGAGAGTTATAACGGCGGAAGGGTGAGCGGCATACAGATGCGCAAATTGCTGTGGAGGGAAATGCAGATGCGCGATGGCAAAGAAAACGAAATGGACGAAGAGACGTACGGGAGAGAGAGGTGCGAGAGAGAACTTAGAGGGTGGCAAGCGAACGAGCGACATAAGGACGAGAAGCACTGCGAGGCTGGCTGAAGGCATCGCCACGCTGTGCTGGCTGAGCGATAGTTGGAGCAGCTAACGCGAGACGTGCCACAGACTCTACTAGCCGAGGAATCCGTTCCCCGCCTTTGTGTTGCGGCTAAGCTGCTACCAGACGGCGCAATCCGTTCCTCGATCGCCACATGAATTTGCCGGTGGCATTTAGGGTCTCGCACACCTGTTTAGGGTTTCTCAGACCGGATCACAACGTGAACCGCCAGGAGAGACTAAGGCGCTTCGCGATATGACAACTTGCTTCCTGCTGAAAGGGTCTCGCCGGTTCCTCCATGCTATGGCTGCGATGGCGGCAGCTACACGAGCACGGCCAGCCGGCTGGTGAGAGGATAGGATGGCGGGAATGAGTGAAGAGGTGATGCGAGGAAATATGACTCGACAGGAGGCCTAGGCTGAATTATGGTTTCTCAAACTGAATCGCCCGTAACGGCAGGATAGACTCAGAGATTTCCCTGCACTACGCTGGAGCTCAGCTTAGCAGCGAAATCGAGCCGCGAAATCACGAATGCGGCTTCCCACGGAGAAGGCTTTGTGGTTGTTCGATAAATGAAGGTTGCAAGGGCGGCGGCGAAACGAGGACCAAACGAGGAGGGACGACGAGAGGATAGGATGGCGTGAGGGACGGGTGCTGTGCGAGAAAGAGGGCAGGAAAGGCGATTATGCAATCTTCAGGCCCTAGAAAGGGATGACAAGAGGAGCAGGAGGAGAGCAGACTGGGTAAGGGATTGGTGCTAGTTACGCGAACTCGATCTGAAATGCGCTGCTTTCGCCAGAAACGTGTTACCAAAAAGGCACCCAATCTTGGGTTTCGCCAAAGTGTTGAGACGAGATGCGAAACTTTTGAGCGGCTCGCTGATCATTTTGCTTTTCGCTTTTCCCACCAGCGAACTTCCGATTGACGAGATGCGAAACAATCGATGGCGTTTGAAATCTGTTCGTCTAATCAGCTCTGCGCTCGTTCCCTATCTCAACTCTAAAACTTCGATTACCCAGTTCACTTCTCCCCGTTCAAGTACAGACCTTCACAGCGTTCTCTCCCTCCACACCAGCTTGACCATCTCAACGCGCTCAGCCCGTTCTACTGGCAATCGCCCGCCAATCCCGCAGAGTTCGTTGCACTATTGAAACTTCTGACGTGTCAGCTTATTGGTGAGAAAATCAGCAGCCATTTCATTGGTTGAACGGTAAATCAATCACATTCTCCCCCTCTCGACTTCATCCTTGACGAAGAAGTACCGCGGCAAAATGTGTTTCGTCTTGTTGGCGAAACCAGGTTGATGCTCAATTCTGATTGCACTTTGATTGTCGCACTGCACGGTGAAGTGTGTACTTGTCGTCAATTTCGCCTCCTCCAGTAGCTCTTGTAGATAGAGGCCTTTGCGAGTAGCTGTGCAGGCAGCTATAAACTCAGCTTCAGCAGATGAAAGAGCTACTAGCTCTTGTTTGGTAGAATTCCACGAGATAGTTCCAATACGCTTGAGGCGATAGATGAATCCGGTTCGTGATCGACGATTAGTAGTATATGCTGCGTGATCAGCATCGACGTACCCATTAAGATATAAGGTTTTCGAAGTAGTAGCTTGGTAGGTAAGTCCGACTTCAGGTGTTGAAATGAAATATTGCAGAGCACGAAGAAGATCTAGCCGATTCTCCCCCTCAGGTCGACGCAGAAATTGCGCGAGCTGGCTAGCGGCGTAGGCGAGATCCGGACGACACGTTACGGCTGCGAATAGAAGGCAACCAAGTTGCTGTTGATAAACCTGTAATTCCGCGTTATCGAGTGGAGTAGTATTCGGCTGATAGTTAGTCGGTAGAGATCGGTAAGGAGTTGTTACTATTGAACCTGTGAGATTAAACCGTGCGGCTAGCATAGCCGCGTACTTTGAAGCTGTGAGATGAATAGCTGTCGCTGTTCGGTGGATATTGAGTCCGAGAAACTGTGTGACTGTAGAAGTAATATAGAGTTAATCTGTAGAGTTTGTTGGAGTTTCTGTTCGAAGTTAGTAGCGAGAGAATCAGTAGTGCTGATATACAGTAAGTCGTCGACGTAGGCGACGAGTAATATCTAGTCAGTACCGTCAGTAAGCAGGTACATTCTCTGGTCGTGTGGAAGTTGTCGAAATCCGGCATTCAACAGCTGGCGGTGTATATACTGCTGCCAAAGTCGTGGTGCCTGTTTGATGCCGTAGAGAGATTTTCTGAGACGGCACACGCTGGGAGGATTAGTATCGTAAGAATGTGGATACTCCACCAGGATTAGTGCATCGACCGGAGCATATAGAAAAGCGTTAGCGACGTCGATTTGACGAAGTCGGAAATTTCGGTAGGCCGCGATGCAGAGAAGAATTCTGACACTAGTGTGTCGGCCGACGGGAGCGAAGGTTAGTTCGTAGTCAAGACCGAATGTCTGCTCGAAGCCGCGGACGACCTATCGCGCTTTCAACTTATCGAAGAAACCATCGGCATTTGCCTTCATGCGGAAAACCCATTTCCCGGTAAGAACTTTACTCCCCTTTATTTCTTTCAGCGGGATTAAATCCCAGGTGCCACGCTTTTTTCAGAGCTGCTAACTCTCTGTCCATGGCTTCACGCCATTTCTCCCTGTTAGGACTTGTCAAAGCTTGGCGAACTGTTTTCGGCTCCAAAATGTTACTGTTGTTTGTCATTACTACGACTGCAAGTCCCAAAACTTGTAAACCAATTTCTGTAAAACGCGGACGATCTGAATTGACACCGGATAAGTTGTGTTCTGATCCCTATTCCCCCCCAACTTCTTCAGGTGTGACACGTATCGCTGCTTCGGAGACAACGGGCATGGGCTGCTGTTGGCGGTCACGTTCGTAATCGAGTTAAACATCGCGAACATCTTCAGGATCGGCGTCAACGAGTGGAATAAACTCCACAGTTCCAGCTGATGTGGTTGGCAGGGGGACATCTGTGGCAGCTTCGGAGGATTCAGCCACGGACTCATCTTGTACATCAGCTTCGGCGTCGTCGGTGGCAAAAGCACGCGAGCATTCGATCAGCCTGGCAGGATTGGCAGTTGCTTCCCGGTGAGCACGAAAAACAGGTAAGGTTAGACGTTCGTAGAAAAGACAATCACGTGCTGCTACGATTTGACTCGTGCGGAGATCCATGATTTTCCACGCGTAAAACTGCTTTTCGATTCCAAGATGTATTCCCCACTTAGCCCGTTCCGAAAATTTCCCGAGTGCTGCTGTCGAAGGTCGATATTGAACGATGCACCCAAAAACTCTTAAAAGTTTTGTGTTGCCAACTGTTTTTGTCCACTGCAGGTGTGGTGAAGAAAATTCCGGAAGGGAAGTTGTCGACAGCAAGTTGTGCAGAAGGACGGCGTGGTCCAAAGCGTACGTCCAAAAATGAGGTGGCAAAGATGCCTGAATCAGCAGGACTCGCATCTTCTCTTGCAGAGTCCTGTTCATCCTTTCTGCTACCCCCATCTCTTGATGTTGATGTGGCAGGGACAACCTGCGCTTGATTCCGAGGGTTTGCAGATAATCTGTGAAAGTTGTGCTCGTATACTCTTTTGCGCCGTCACTCTGAAATTCTTGCAGCTTCTTCTCCGATTCTCTTTCAGCCACCGCGAGCCACGCCACGAAAATTGAGTGAGCCATGTGTCGAGCTGGTATGTTGACACTCCAGACGTATCGAGTAGAAGCTTCGATAAACGAGATCATATAAAGCTCCCCTTTAGGTCCAGCTTCCGGTAAGTTGAGTATATCGCTGTAAGCTTTCTGCATCAGTTTGTATCAAGTTGAACCCGGAAAGTGACTTGGAAAGGGTTCGTGCGGAAGATTAGCAGTCGCGCATATTGTGCAGACTGCTGGTCGCGAAGACGGCTTCATCTCCGTTCCATCCGGTAAGAGCAAACTATTCTTGTCAAGAACTGAAGCTCGAATTGTATGATTAAGAATCCTCGGTGAAGGATGTCCTAATCTTTGATGCCAAATACCTTCCGTTGCTTTGTGTCCTGTTGATCGCAGATAAAAATCGGCGTTAGTATAAAAAGAAGAAACGATGAAAGGAGAAATCGTTGGTGATTCGTCGAATTCGCCAGGAACAAAGCGATTTAAAGATAACTTGGTGGTTGTTACTTCCACTTCGAGTACTTCTTCCAGTTGAAGAATTGATTCCCCTTCCTCAATTTCTGCTTCTGTTAAATCTGCTGCAGGTCGACCGACGAGAATCCCTGGTTCTGCTTCACTGCTACTCTGCTGCTCTTGTGAGAGTACGACCCCGTTACACTAATTTCCTTTCCATATTTTCTATCTATTTCATTCCTCTTTCACTCCTGATTCATTTGGTCTTTATCTCATCTCATTTGGTTTCCTATTCCTCCTTTTTCATTATCCTTTGGTTTATCATGTTATTATAATTATATCACCGACTAGGCTCGGGATGTATTGGCGCGCTATATCTAGCGTAATCCTGCAGTAATCCCTTATAGCCAATAGCCTCGCGTGGCTATACGCAGGGTGATTCTATTTCTAGAAGGGTCTATTCCCTTAGGATAAGATAAACCTGGTTACTTGATGTATTCTAGAAGTATAAAACCACCTTGTACTGAATGATAGTGCAACATTGGGCAAACCTTTCCTCGGGACATTCGATCCTGTGACAGCTCTGCTTCGTCTGCTTCACTGCTGCTGCTGGGTCCCCAAGGTCCTGTAGGCTTGTTTTCAAGTTGTTGTAAAGTGTCGTAATATTTCCTCCATGCTGATGTGTCTTCTTCTGCTATGTTTATTGGCCAGGAATCAAGAGCCGTGATAACCGCTGCTGCTGTACGAGAACCTGTTGGAACGGCAGTTGCTCGGAAGTCGATGTCAACGTTTTGGAAGTCGGTTTCTTCAGGATGTTGCCAAGGTCCAAGAGATAAGACTCTCTCAGAAGATCCAGTAGTCCTTTGCGACTCGAATTGAAGAACGGAGACCCCATACTGAGTGGCGGCTCTCCTGATGTAAGTATTTGAATCATTATGATAAAGTTCTTGGTCCATTGTCTCACAGTTTCCTTGTGTGCGGATCTTATGTCGCAGAAGTTGAGCCGTTGAAAGAAGATTAAAGCCAAGTCCCTCAATGATCAGAACATTGGTAACGTGTAATGAAAATCCTGTGTCGACTGAATCCAGCATGACGCTCCCAATTGACTTTGCCATTATCGTTTGTCCATTTACGACAGTGACAGGTACTGGACGACGAAGTGGACGCTGATGTGTAATGAAGAGCGTCTCGGCAGAGCACATGTGTTGGCCACAGCAACTGTCAAGATACCAAGTATTTGGTCCTGCAATAACTCGAGCGAGGTTAGCATATACTTGAGGTAAAACCATGTTCTCTGGTTGCTCGTTGTCGTCGTCATCGTCGAAATCAGAATCTGTTGCATCAACCGTTGTAACGCAGCTAAAGACTTGTTTCCCTGATGTTGCAGGAGTTCTTGTCAGTGAATTCTGCTTCACGGGTTGCCTTGACTGCTGCGACTGCTGCTGTCCCCCTCTTTTCCTATCAGCTTGAAGCCTGTTGCAAAACTTTATACTGTGCCCATCCCTTTTGCAGTAGTGGCAGAAGTATTTGTGGACGCGTTTCGTAGGCGTTGAATAAATACTGATGTTGACTGCTCCTTT